ACCAACTCCACCAGAGCCAGCACAGCGCGTTGAGGAACCAACTCCAGGTCCAGCAAAGCCAGCACAGCACGTTGAGCAAAAAACTCCTAGGTCTCAACCTCAAACTCCAGACAAGCGAGCTTTAGAGATGATGGAGAGAGAGGAAGAGGACAAGGAAGGAGACTCGGAAGCGGAGCACACTTCTAGGAAGAGCTTTAAGGAGATCTCTTCCACTCTTCCACCAAAAACATCGCAAGCACTCTAACGCAAAGTTATTAAATCTACAAGCTAGGCTGTAAGTTGCACGTGCGTGTGCATGCGTGCGCGCTTTGTCATGTCTTGCAGGACCGGCGCCCGCTTTTGGAATCCCTTCCGGATCTCCCAGGCATGGTCCAGCTTTGGCAGAATTACCTCCAGAAGCATGGGCCAGTTGGGGATGAGAACAAAGAAATTATGGAGAAGTTTGTGTTGCAGGCTTGTTTCCGAAGTAGCTTGCCTATCCTACATTGCACGTAAGTAATGTTGCCGACAAGGTCTTAAATTTGATATTAATTAATAATGATCACTGCGCGCAGATGCAAGAAGAGACAAGAAAGGGTATCAACCAAAGGTTAAGGGAGGCCCAAAATGAGGTGGACGAGCAGACCGCCAAAAAAATCCTCCTGGCAAGGGGAAAGGGCGAGGCCGGGGTAAGGGAAAAGGAAGGGGCAGGGGCAGGGGCAGGAAGACAAAGGAAGAGGAGAATCAGGAAGATTTGCCAGAGGAGGAAGACAAGGAGGAACTGGGAGAGGGAGAGGGAGCTAGTGAGGGAGCTGAGAAGGCCGAGGGCAGGAAACAAAAAAGAAAAACAAGAGCATCCAAGAAGGAGAATGCTGAGGATCGCGACCTCAACTTATGGTATTAATTGTGTTGTTTAGACTCAACTTTGATTCACCTGTCGGATAGCCTATTTCAGAACAACGACGGCGACATGCACGACAACAAGGGTCAACCTTCCAAGCGCCAAGCTGTTGAGGCTCCTGGCAGATTTCTATAAAATATGCGACATATTAAGTGCAAGTGTGCATGCCCGATAACAACCAAAAGCACATAAACTGATCCAATTTCGCATTTCTTGTTGGTCCAGGCCGAGTCTGTTCCAACTGGCGAATCTGGGCCGCGTAAGGCGCGGAGAGTTGTGAAATACAAAATTTAGAGTATCGTTCAGTCACAGGCCACCAAGAGGAACCAGCGTGCTGAGCGCAAGCAAAAGTCACCCCAGGACTCTATCATATGCATGTAGCACAACCGTTCGCATGTGTGGGAAAGATTGGAGAGTACAGCGACTGGCCACGCCGCGCTAGGAGGATGGCAGTGCTGCTGATGATGATGAACCAAGGGCAAAAACAAAGGCACAACGGCGCGTTGTTAGTTGACGCTGTTTGAGTTGTGTTCCATGCGCAGTGATCGAAAGGCATCTGAGCTAGAAAAAATGAGGAAGCGGAAGCAGGAGGACTCACACAGTTCTGTTGTTCTGATGGTTCAACACTGATTCCAGCAGGACAATGAAGGTGAACATCGTGATGCACCTGGTAGCGCTGGTGCCACTGCGAAGGATGCCGGGATTGCCCTTTACCGTTTGTCAACATGGTTGACTGGGAAACTCTGATCTGGGGGAGTCTACAGTGATCTTCCTTGTAGTCAGCATTTTTGTCAATGCAACATGCAGTGAACGTTTTGCAAAACTACCACTGATGCAGGAAAACAGCCGTGTGGGAGAGGCAGGTTCTTTTTTCTCCGAGCCAAATCCACATCTTAACCATTTGGGCATTTGACAGGAGGTGCGAAAAGAGCGGCTTTGTGTTCTTGAAGGGCTGGCGAAGTCTGACCCCTTCTTCACGATCCCAATGAACTTGGGCTCAAAGATGTGCGAAGCTCAGCTATGGCAGTGCCACCCATAGAACAACTGGTACTGGTACCTGCTTGGGATGCACTTTCATTGCCCAGGTCTTGGACCATCCAGCCCCCTCCGCAGCTGAAGGATGTGGAAGCTGCGTCGTCGATTCAAGTTCTTTTGGTTGGACAATTTTATGTCAATTCAGTCCAGCCGGCTGTCGCTGAGCAAGTCAATGAGCATTTCCATACTGCTGTGAAGGCAGGTCTGCATGACCAACTTTTGATTGCATGAAAGCACGAAAATGCACGCACATGCATGCATGCAGTTCAAATTTGTTCGTGTATTTTACCACTTTCAGGTGGATCGCAAGAAACGTTCCAAAAGCGATAGCGAGAAGAACAGCGGTGGCAGCA